TGGCAAAAAAAAACAAAAAAAAAAAACTTTTTAGTAAATCTGTGGTTTTATCTCACGTTTTCCCTTCTTTGAGCTTTACAGTGTGCAGACGTGTTGCTGGTTGATCTTTCTAACACAAGCACTGGAGAAACACGCGTGTCATTCCTGGTTCATGCCTGTGTTTTCATCAGCACACGCGTCTGATAGAGATGCTTAATGTAGAATTCAGCCACAAACACATAAATCTCGATCTAAACTAGAACCCGTGTGTGTGTGTGTGAACAGGGTGAAGTGTGTTTAAAAGACATAAATCACTGTAAACGGAAACAGGAACAACATGATAAATGAACCAGCCGTGACCCACAAGAGAGAAACCTATCCAGGTTATCCAGCACACAACGAGAGACAGCAGCTGTAATGATCAGAGAGAGAGAGAGAGAGAGAGAGAGAGAGAGGCTGGTGATGTAGGGCTTGTGGTTTGTTTCTAAACCAGGTCTGTATTTTGCTGATCCAGCAGAACTGAATATAAACCAATTGTGTTTCTGACACCTTCAGACTGCCTGATGGAGCACCAGCGAACAACACACACACTCTCTCTCTCACACACACACACACTCACACACACACTCTCACACACATAAATAATATTTAGATAAACTTATATATAACTTATATACTATATATATATAAATATATATATAATATATGAATTTTTCATTATATAATTATTATGTTTTTTTGTTTGTTTTTTTTAGGTTTTGTATATATGCTTTTGAGGTTTGGGTTAGACTAAACTAAATAAAATTTTGCCTTAAAAATTAAGCTTTATATAATTAGGTTTTCTATATTAGCTTTATATAAAATCAATACAATCTAAGGTATGTCTCCATTTAGTGGGAATATTTGAGTACTAAACTAAATTTTTTGTTTCTGGAGTAACTGTGAGCAGTTTTTGCCTGTGCAAACTCATCGTTATGATGTTAGAGTGATGCAGATGGTTGCCAGGGCGTCGCTAAGGTGTGATGGATGGTTGCTAGGGCGCTGTTTTGTGTTTGCTGGGGTCTTGTGGGTGATTTTTAGGCATTTCTTCCTGTCTTCTGGTCTGTAGATTTGTCTCAGTTCTGTGGGTTTGTTATCCAGCAGGTGAAAATGTAAGTCTGATCACTTAGTGCTAGTATAGTTAGTTTGGAACACGTGAAGGCCAATAACAGAGCCGCGAGACACGGAGAGTCTGGCACACGCGCTCATTCCCACCGCAGGACTGAGGAGCTGCTGCCAGACGCCGGTGGGCTCAGGAATAATGCATCATGGGATACGAGGTTTGAACATCGTTCAGTGCAGCTGGAGGAGGTCTTCACATAAATCAAAATCAACTACAGTCATTGACTACTGAATAAATACTGCGGCAGCATCACAATCCATGCACTTACATGCCATATATGCTGCCAGAACTCCTGTTAACACAGCTTAAATAAATGCATGGTTTCTAGTGGAAAAAAAGTCTGATTCATTGGTTTAACTTTTTTATTTTTTTAAAAAACCATGATTATGCTACAAACTAAATTCCTCCAATGCAATGTAGTTTGTTGGCTGAACATAATTTCATTAGAAGTTGTTCAAAAAGATTGTGTAGTGCACATCATTTACACAGCTGCATCACATTAGACTCAGTATGTTGTAAGTATTCAGCAGAAGCTTGTATGAAACTGTATGCTGTTGTTAAACGCAACAAAAGCATGCATAAAAACACCTGTGTTTTGTTGAGAGTGTAATCTATTAAATGCAATGAACAAATCTCAAAATACTATTATTTTATTAATTTGTAGGCCTTGTTTTGTTTGTTTTATGGGGAGCTTGGTTAATCAGGCCAATAAGAGACTATTAACTACAACTTTTGCTTTTTATTATACAAGCGTGTCATTAAAAATGTCTACAAACCTATAATACTGATCTAAAAACCTAAAATAGTATGGAAGCTTGTTTCCAACACAGGATTAAATATATATATTAGGGGTTGAACGACTTCTGATTTTTTAAAGTCGGCTTTTACGTGATGAAAGTCGAGTCGAAGTCGACTAGTCGCTGATGACGTCATTAATGAACAAATAAGTCTGGAGCTGTGATAAACAGCTTGTGCACAGCTATGGCATATGACACAGCGCTGCCCACACGGCTGTTGCTCATATAACAGCTCTTTTATCCGTTCTTTTGTCTTTGGGTCGTTATATTTCTCACAGATTTCTGCTCGTTCTAAATCAGATACAGATAAAGTAGCACAGTAAAGATTACATTAATATGAATGCATTAGTGAGAGCGATTGCGTGTGTGAATTAATTCTACCTGGCAGCGTCTCTCTACTAGTAGTGAAGCTGTGGGATTTAGTTATTAAGAAATATATGCTTGAACCTTTTAGTTTCTAAGCTATTTTATTGAGAAATCACAGAACAGTGTTGACAATACATTTCCACGCAGAATGATTCTGTGCGGGTCATGTACGCGCTACTGTCTGTAGCCTATGTGTGTGCGTTACAGTGCAGCAGCGCATTAGATCAGAACAGCGATTAGCGAGGTAAAAAGACAGAATTGTGATATAAACTAAAAATTCTAATTCTGAGTTTATATCTCGCAAATATTTTTTCCCTCAAAAATCCAGATTTTAGTCTAGAATTGCAACAAAAAAAAAGTCTAAACTGTGAAATAAATTGCAATTAGGGTTGCAAAGGGGTGGAACATTTCTGGTAAATTTCCAAAAATACCTGGAATATTCCAAAAAATCCTGGAAAGTTTCCAAAACTTCTGGAATATTTCCGAAATTCACTGGAAATGTTCCACCTTTTTGCAACCCTAGTTGGCTTTTTAGCTTTTTTTATTTTTCTTTTTTTTTTAATCCCATGCCGGAAACGGCCTTCCATAATACAGACACAGGCGCATGCGTTTGCTGAGAAATTTTCATCCAATGAAATTTCAAACCGTTCTGAAACAGTATGATCTCACAAAGCCACATTTGCTGAAATCACGTGACTTTGGCAGTTTGATGATAAGAAATGCTGTGGTAAATGCAGCCATACCAAACCCCACAGATGCATTGAGTGATTTCTCCAGAAGTCTAGCACACCTAATCAAGGTTTGCACATTTTCAAGCGTTAAACCTCATTTCGGCACTTTCCACATTTCGATATGTTGAACTAGCGGAGAAAAACAGCGTGTCAATATCTTCTACCTAATTACACGGCACTTCTTTTGTTTGGGGCCCATGGGACGAGCGGAGAATCATATTACCCGTTCCTGGGCAAATAACAGTTTAACATTTCTGCTCAGTGCCGTCAGACACAAATTCAATTTTGTTATTCGTCAGCAGTGCCTGTTGATTTCCATATTTCCCAGAGGCTGGAATAATGCTGCTCTGATCAGCCGGAGCGCATCAATAAAAGCTGCTGAACGGCTCACAGGTGGCTGCTTATTATGGAAACGGCTTTTTGCATTGTTTTAAGGATGTTCACGAGCCCCTCTTAGACTCACTGATTCAGGAGCAGTTTTCACGGTCACTGGAGGATCTTCTGTGTTGAATAATGTTGCATGAGTATTATGTCTGTTATTGCAAAGTCAGGCTCTAAAACCTTTTGACATGAAACACATTGTGATTTTCTTCCTCTAGTAGCCTACCTATGTGTTGCAACAAGTTCTGAAGGAAAAAAAGATTGTAGGCTAATCCTAAATAAACTTGCTTTTCATGAAGTAAAATTTGTTAGAAGATGCATGAGTCATGATATTTTCTGTTGAAGTATCTCTGAAGGTTCTCTTACTATTCAAAACGTCCAGGTTTTTAAAACACAAAGGGAACATAATGGGAACGTTACTTTTAAATATTCTCTGATTCTGAAACAAGTAACATTTAAAAACCGTTAGACATTCCAACCAAAATGTTTCAGGAAAAATAAATAAATAAAAAATATTAAATGCATGGTAATGTTTTTGTGCTAGTAACGTGTTGAGAACACTATTAAAAACTAGATAACTTTGACAAACGTTTGTTCATAACTTTGAGAGGACCTAACCAGAACTTTCTGAGAATGCCTGTTTGCTGAACAGACTCTCTTGGTGGCATCAATTTATCAAGCCAAACTATCAGGTAAATATTTATTGATAAATCCTTTTCTGGAGAAACTGAATACCATTTACTGACCTTAGAATCATTTTCTCTTACAATATGTTGTCTTGTGTCTCGTATTTGCTGCCGTGTTGCAAATGAATCATTCTTTTGAGTCGGTTCGTTTTCATGAATTGGTCAAACAGCTTAGTAAAGCGATCTGAATCAGTTCGCGATTCTGTCTGAATCGAGTCTCAATTCGGTTCGCGATTCTTTATGAATCGGTTCGCGAATCGGTCTGAATCATTCAGTCAGCTGAGCTAACTGACGCGCGAGTAGAGCGGTTTCCGAAGCAATAAAGCGATATTATTGAACAAACAGCGACAAATGAGTATTGCAGGTCTGTTTACACACCTTACCTTTAAAAACAGTTCAATGTTTCATGAAGGCAAGAATGTATGGAAGCCCGTTTCCGCCACTAAATACAAAAAAAGGTAATTGTGACTTTTTATCTCACAATTCTGACTTTTTTTTCTTGCAATTGAGAGTTTTTATCACGCAATTCTGAAAGTATTTTTTATTTTCAGTGGCAGAAACGGGCTTCCATAAGAATGTGTCCTGTGTAAATTTGAAATAAAATAATCTGTGAAGAGGCTGGAAGGCGCTTGATTCGAATTAAACATAAACATGAATGGAAGCACAAATACTTTCTTGTGTCTTTCTGTAGCTGGTTCATTTCCCATGAAATGCACATGAAATCATTAAATAAAAGTGTTTATAGTAAGTCGTTAATGCATTTGGCGTGTTCATGACGTCATGTAAACAAAATCTACGCAGCCATTCTAATCTACGATCTCATTAGTCTTCAAGGGGTTAAACTCTAACGAGAACTTCATGTTGTCTCGTGAAACAATGGATCATATTCTCTGTGGCATTTAACATTTGCAGGCAGGGGTGGAAAAAGAAGACCTTAATTAATCACAGCGCCCTCGTTAGAGCCCACTGTGATCCCGGCGCTCGTTAGTCCCGCGGGTGATTAATTGAAATTAATTGAAAAGCCGGTGACATTTACCAGCGTGGTTGAGCGGAAGTATCGAGTGATAATCTCGCAGTCGTGATTTTGGAGGTAAATCTGCGGCTGTGGGTCTGATTGAGGTCACCGTGAGCGGCTTCAAACTCACTGAACAGAAACACTTACTGCTCCGAGTACCATGGTAATGCTGTTTTACTAGATAGGTAGAGTGATTTTAACTTGTTAGCTATTACTTGAAGTGCTAATGCACTGCGCATCTCATGGTCTAATCATTCAGTACCATGTTTTTTTTACCAAAGCTACCATGCTTTTTACTATAGTAATACTCTGGTACCATGGTATTCTTTCAAGTTTCTTGGAGTACCATGGTATTTATCAAATTACCTTAATATTACCACCATGGTAATACTATGGTTCCATGATATTTTCTAAATTTTCTTGGAGTACCATGTAAAAATCATAGTAGCCTATATGAACATGGTTATCACTGAGTACCAACTTGACCATGTTTTTACCACGTTAATACTGTGATGCCATGTTTTTTTGTACAGTACCTTGGTTTACCATGCAAATCATTTAGTACCATGGTATTTATCAAATTACCATAGTTTTACCTTTTTTTTTTTTTTACCATGGTAGCACTTCCGGTGGGGAGAACGCTGGCGCACAATAAGACCGCTTTACTCTATGATATTATATTAAACAATAGACTGGATTTCTTCTGTCTGTGAAACTTGGCATCAGCTGAATTACTTCATAAATCTAAATATGAGTAGGTTATACATACATTGACAGGCCACGTCTAAGTGGTAAAGGTGGCGGTCTTGCAGTTATCTACAGAGCAGATATATCTGTCACTGAAAATACCATTCCCTGTGTGTCATCTTTTGAATGTATAGCTTTCTAAATGAATGGTACCTCCCGTTCTTGTTTTATCATCTACCGTCCTCCAAAACCTAATCCTCTGCTTTTTAGTGAACTCCGAACTGCTTACAATTGTTAGTTCTGTGTTATCATCTGCTTTGGACGTGTTTGCCCCTAGGAGAGAATATTTTGTTTCATTTACTAAAGCTCAGAGCTCTTAAGGTTATAAGTAGGCAGCTTGAACGCCGGTATAAGAAATCAGGATTGACTGTCTATAAGCTTATGTAGGATGAACACTTGGGTCAATTCAGTGAAGCACTTAAAGCGGCAAGAACGAAGTACTACACGTCCATATTAGTGATGGTACTGCAAACCTGAACATGATTTTTAAGACTATCAACAAACTTTTTTTACCTGTTAAGCCAATGATTTGTTCCTCTGTGTGTGACTGTAACAACTTTCTCAATTTCTTCATGGAAAAAAATCGAGAACATTCAGAATTATATTAGTTTGGCACCCTGTTCTGCATTTCCTGTGACTTATCCATCGAGTTCTCCTGAAACGACATTTTCTAACAGTTACAACTGATTGTATTTTGAAATTAGTGATTGCAATGAATACAACTACATGTATTCTCGATCCAATCCCAACAGCTGTTCTCAAGGAGTGTTTGCCATCAATATGTCCCTTAATTTTGAACATTGTGAAAATCTCCCTTACTATTGGTATTGTTCCAGAAGTCCTTAAGGTTGCAGCTATCACACCAGTCCTTAAAAAGCCTGGATGTGATCAATCTGATCTGTCAAACTACAGGCCGATCTCAAATCTTCCCTTTCTTGCTAAGGTTTTGGAACGTGTCGTTGTGACTCAAGTATACTCACACTTGTCATTCTACAAGCTTTTTGAGCCTTTCCATTCTGGGTTTAGAAAAGGACACAGTACAGAGACTGCCTTGGTTTGAGTCATGAATGACCTGTTTGTCTCCGCTGACTCTGGAGCCTCTACCATCTTGGTGTTAGATCTTACTGCAGCTTTTGACACTGCGCCACTCCATTCTGATTAATAGATTTGAGAGTTGGCTTGGTATCTCTGGTACTGCGCTTAAATAGTTTAAATCCTACCTTACAGATCGTTCCCAGTTTGTTGTCTCGGGAAACAATAAATCTGATGTTGGACAGGTCCGCCATGGTGTTCCTCAAGGATCCGTTTTGGGTCCTATATTGTTCAGCATTTACATGCTTCCTTTGGGGCAAATTATTAGGAATTATGGTTTAGGTTATCACTTTTATGCTGATGACACTCAGATTTATATCTGCTCTAAGTCTGATATTAATGACACTTCTTCCGTTCTTTCTGAGAGTGTGCAGAAAATAAAAATGTGGATGCACCATCATTTTTAAAAAAATTGATTTTCTCATTGGCACACCAGCTGCTATCCATAAAGGGAGCTACAGTATATCCAGAATTCGGCAGCACGTCTTCTCACCTATACTCCATCATGTCAGCACATTACAGGCATCCTCTATAGTCTGCACTGGCTTCCTGTTCAGTCGCAGATTGATTTTAAAACTCTTATTTTAATGTACAAAGCTGTGCATGGAATGACCCCTTCTTATATCTGTGACTTAGTTATGCTTTATGTGCCCTCTTGCTCTCTTCGCTCTGTTGATTCTTTCACTCTTCAGCAGCCACCCTATAGATTAAAATCCATGGGTGAAAGAGCCTTTTCTGTTATGGAGTGCAGTTCCTCTTACTGTCAGAAATGCTCCCACATTAGACAATTTCAAGAAGTTTTTTTTTTTTTAAATAGCCTACACACACTGAGATCATTAGTATTTTATTGTATTAATTTTTTTTTAAATTGTATTGATTTTTTCTATTTTATATCAAAATTGTTTGTAGTGCTTTACTATTGTAGTACAGTTGTTTTTTTTCTTCTGTGGAGTACCTTGGTGTACCATGTAAATATCATAGTATTTGAATATGGTAATTTTTACCATGGTAAACCTGTGGTAACATGGTATTCTTTACAGTTTCTTGGAAGACCATGTAAATATCTATGAATAGGATATGGTACTTATCAAAGTACCATAGTATTACCATGCTTTTTAAACCAAGTACAATCTTCTAGAACACAGCTGGAGAGCAACTGTGTTCTACTGTAAAAAACATCACATTCTCCTTCATTATCTTTGTCCCATAAAACCTCTCAGCCTCTTTAAAGCAGATCAGTTTAAAGGCTCTGTCTCCCTCTATTGGTAAATATCCATACAAAACTGCTATAGAAAAGCTTAAACTACTAAAACTCATCCATAAAGCATCGTGCATGTTACAGATATAACTGTATAATGAATCTGATGAAGTTTTGATAGTCTCTGGCTTCTGAAAGTCTTTCACAGGCAGTAAATCTCCATCTGCCTCCTGTTGTTTGATGAAGTTGAGTTTGCAGTGCCTGCAGCATCAACACTACTTCACAGAGACATCTAGTGGAGAAGCCAGATCACACACACCTGAGAGAGTGTGTGTGTGTGTGTGTGTGTGTGTGTCGGTCGCTCCCCTCACTGGTTCTTGGCCATCTATCAGAGCTGGAGGCGCTTCATACAGATGGAACACACACTGATTTCATGCTTGTGCTTCAAGCGGCACAAACTCACACACACTCACACACACTGCTGGAGTGCGTCTCTGAGGTGCTTCTCTCTTTCTGCCCCCGGCTGATGTCTCACTGTTCCTGGAACATGCATCTGAATGTGTTCGGGGAGCTTTTTTTTTGGCTGAAGGTTTGGAGAAGCTCATAGGTTCTCGCCCACCTCTGATCTACACACTCAACACTCTACACACTCAACACACACTCTGTGTGTGTATTCAAAGCCTTCCCATGTTTGATTTATAGTTCATCTCTGGTTCATCTGTCAGATCATTAGTGATTAGCAGGGCTATAATATATAATTTTTGTACAACTAATTATTGTTTTTAAAAGCAATAAAAAATAACCCAATTATCTTTTGATTTTTAAAAACAGTTTTGCAGGTTACAAATTACTGGATAAAATATATGAAGTTTGTCTATGGATTGATTGATTGTGTTTTGGAAGTAATCAAACATTTTCCCGAGGCAGGTTTAATTTTTAAAAATTAATTCCATGCTATTTAACCCACTTGCCATTATATATTTGAAACAATTGTACAAACACTGTAACAGATCACTGGATTGATTGATTTCTTTTAAAAAACGAAATTCCACTAATACACATTTTAACCCAATTACATTAAATTTTTTTAAACTATTGTTTGGATAAATTATTAGATGAAATATATTAAGTTAGTTAGATTTATTTGTCTGTTTGTTTAGTGGAAGTTATTTAACCCAGTTACTGTTATGTTTTTTTTAAACATTTGTGTAGATAAATAACTGGATCAAATTATACGAAGTTTGTTTATTTATTTGTTTTGGAAGTAATAACCACACATTTTCCAGAAACGGTTTTAATTTTTTTTAAAGAAACCCCACTGCAGTGTACCATATGATGCAGTGACCGCTGTGTGAGTGACTCGGAAACGGTTTAATTGATCTTTTGTTGAGTTATCGGCTGAATCAGAGTCCCTCATTCCTGCTCCTGAAGAGCCGCTTTCCTGCAGAGTTTAGTTCGTAATTAAACACAGCTGAACCAGCAGCTAACCGAGGGTCTTTGGGTTGAAAACAGCAGGTTTAGCAGCAAACGCTGCAGGACTCGTGACGTTTGATGCGTCAGAATCACACGAGTAACCATTCAATTAAACTGACTGCTTGACTTGTGCTTCACACAAACCTTTGATGTGCCACTCATGTATTCCCAGTGAAACTATAGAGGTATCATTTAAGATTGTTCACCAGATTTAAAACACTGAAATGCAACTCAAAGAAAAATGTTTTATGACTATGATGTAAATTTGAAAATGAGGTATATTGTGAATTTACTCCTATATGAACAATTCTTAATCCACAGATGTGTTTATTTTCAATGCCCATTTACATTTCATTTTTAGATCGAAATAGTCCCTATACTGAATGGTGTTTAAACTATTTTCACTCAAAAATTGCTAGTAAATTACAAAGAAATGGCAAGTTGGAAAGTGAGTTGTGTAAAATAACAAAAATATCTGAATTTCATGTGCGGATCACAGCTGATTGGCTCATTGAATTAAACATAATTTTGAAGTTGAAAAACTGAAATAGTATTTTCTAACGTTTACTCTAATAATCTTTATTTGCGACTTTGAAAAATATTTTTTACAGTGTTCCTTCATCCTTAAACTAAAGTGAGAAATAAACCAAAAAAAGTAAATTTCAGTAAAGCCTTAAACATATATGCTTTGATTTTATAATGCGGAAAATGTATCTTAATTTCCTATCAATGCTGATTTACCCTTTTTTCTTAATTTTTTTTATTATTTTGTCTTCGTTTTTGATTTGATACAAAATGATTGCCTTTAATTGTATGTTCATTGTTTAGAGATTACAATTAATAAAAAATAATAAAATAAAAATACAGACGGCAACCAGGCACATCAGAAAAAAATCCTCTGTTTTTATAGCTCTTATGTAACTGTTATGTTCATATATTTTTTTTGTTACATGCTTTTTTTAGGCTCATGATGGGTTTAGTGCCTCAACAGACACCGTGCATCTAAAAATGACCTGAAAATCAAATATGAAGTGGAAAATATTGCCTCAAACTCGACCTCGTCTCTGAAACAGACAAAAGCAAGAACTCATTTTGAGCTATTAAACCGTCCTCATCGTCAAGATCTGCTGTGGAGGAAAGCACATGTTCACCTAGTTCTCGGGTAAATGTCTCCAACAAGCAAGTTAATTTTCTTTGAACTACGCTTTTGTAATATTGTGAAATATTGCAATTCAAAACAACTGTTTTCTATTGTAATATATTTTAAAATGTTATTTATTTCTGTGACGCAAAGCTGAATTTTCAGCATTCAACTAGAATTCAAAAGTTTGGGGTAAGATCTTTTAAAAAAAAAACAACAAAGAAATGATCGCTTTTATTCAGCAAGGACGCATTAAATGTATCAAAAGTGACAGTAAATATACATTTATAATGCTAGAAAAGATTTATATTTCAAATAAATGCTGTTCTTTTGAACTTTGTATTCATCTGTGAATCCTGAAAAATAAAATGCATCACGGTTTCAACAAAAATATTAATGTTTTCAACTGATAATAATCAGAAATGTTTCTCGAGCAGCAAATCAGCATATTATACTGATTTCTGAAGATCATGTGACACTGAAGACTGGCGTAATGATGCTGAAAATACAGCTGCACATCACAGAAATACATTACAGTTTAACAGAGATTCACATAGAAAACAGCTGTTTTACATTGTAATAATATTTCACTTTTTTATTGTATTTTTAAGCACATAAATCCATCCTTGGTGAGCAGAAGAAACTTCTTTCAAAGTAATAGAATTGAATTTGTTTCAAAACTGATGAACATTAACACTATTTATTTTCCTGTTTATTTCTGTGAAGCTGCTTTGAAACAGTCCATATTGTATAAACTGCTATATATGACTTTTCTCAACAAATATTAATATACATGATAAATTATAAAAAGAGCATAAACCATCACTGACTGGAGTTTGATCAGTGGTTTTAGATCAATACTGCTGATCAATGTAAGAATAATGCAAGCACATCTGATGATCTGAAGAAAGTGAGCTGCATCACAATGATCCGCACACTAGAGAGCAGCAGTGTACTTCACTTTCTGTTTGCCACTCAAGCCCTTTATTTCTATCATTCAGCTTGTCTTTCTGGTTTTGTCCCAGAATACATGTAGACACTAAGCCTGCATAAACACATCTGAATGTGACCCCATTTACTGCACTTTTTTTTTTATCTGTCTAATGCAGTGAAATTCAGACATTTGCAAGAGGTGTGTGTGTGTGTGTGTGTGTCTGGTCCTCTCCTCTCTTTCAGTCAGCGGTTCTCCTCATCAGTCCGTTTGATTTTTCAGAGACTCTGATGATGATGATCCTTCAGCTTCCCGTCGCCGTGGTAGCAACAGTCCTCTTTGCATCCGATCGGTCTGTTGCCATGGCAGCCGTGATGAGCCGGGAGGAACCGTGGCGACCCCAGCGAGAGACCGTCTGTATCTGTTACCATGGAGCCCAGCGTGAGTGTAGCAGCGTCAAACCTGTTCAGATTCAAACTCAGAAAGATGCTAATTTGCTTAGTCAAGCTTTTCACTGTCCAAAATCTCCTTGACACTAATTTACAGAACAAAGTACTACAAGTCAAGCATCACGGTTACTGTTGTGATTCGGAACGAACCTCAGACATTAAATACTACACAGTTTGTATCATTTGTGTTATTTTCAGTAACTAAAACTATTAAAATGTTTGTGTAAATTAAAATTATTTTTATCCTAGTTAACTAAATAAATAATAATATTGTTGTTGTTGTTATTCACAACAGAGTGAATCTAATTGAAAAGTAAGGTTTGGGTCAAGGTTATTGTCATTAACTAAAACTAAAACCATAAAAAAAGTATTATTTTTTTGTTATTTATACTTGAAATAAAAAACTTTTAATTAAATCAAATCTAAAAAAGTAAACATTTCTCATTTTTATTTTGTTTCATTTGAAGTACTAAAATAACTAAAACTAAATAAACTAAAAATAGAAACAATTTTAAAAACCATATACATATATAAAATAATATAAAAATTAAAAACAGTACAAATAACAAAAAACACAACAAAACTACTAATACGGAGAGCAGCTCAGATAATTTAATATTGGGAGAAATGTTTGAGTTTATACTGAGATTTTTATTGCAGTCTTTGGTATCTTAAAAAAAACTCAGTTTGAGGCATTAAGATCTTTTCTTTGCGTTTTCCCAGGAGAAACCTCTGAGAAGCAAGAGACTTTATCAGAAGGAGAAACTCTTTAGTGAAATCTAAATCTATAGAGAGTTTTTCAGTTTTTAATCATTTTGTGCGGAAAAAACTGTATGAGACGGAAAGTTTTTACCTAATATTTCTGAACTCAAAATGAGGTAATATTAGGCCTGTTATGCAAATCAGCAGAATTAGTTTTGATGCAGGGCTGTTATATAAGTAAAATATTGTTTAAAGGGCTGTTTTTAAGTAATAATCTGGGCCAATTTAAAGTTTTTTTTTAGCGCGACCAATTTAAAGTGCTGTGAAGCGTCACAAAAGTCATATTCAAGTCTCCATGCATTCAGATCACTTTGGTCGGAGCAAGAAATTCAGAAACAAGTTTTACCTCTAAATCTACAAAATGATAACTGTAGAATGTGTATCAGGTGTGTTTTTGTGTTTTATGGTTTTATTCAGTTTATGAAGGTGCTGCAAGTTAAAAAAAAAAAAATCTGAATTGTAAAATACTGTGGTGTTTTGCACTTGCAACTTTTATCTAAGTTTAAATCTTGTTTTTAATTCAATTTGTGAAGGTTCTGTAAGTTAAATACATATATATTATATTGTAAATATACAATACTGTGGTATTTTGTACATGCAACCTTTATATGAAAGTGTTTTAATGCATTAATTATGCACCTTATAATGCACCGCATGAGCTCATGAATAATTGTAGCTAGTTATAATACATTATAATACTTATGTATTCACTGTTACACCTTTAGAAAGTATCATGCATTAAAACACAACAAACAAACCTTCAAATACTATAATGCATTTTAAGTTTGGGTAGAGTTATGAAAAGATATCATGCATTATAATGTACATTATGAATACCTTTATACATAAAGGCTGTAAGTAAAAGAATAATTGTGTGTGTGTGTGTGTGTGTGTGTGTGTTCACTCGTGTGAAGTGTGTGAGACGAGCTTTGCTCACAGATGCTGCAGTTAAACTGATTGATCTGAAGCTGCTGAACATTGTGCGTTTAGTGAGAAACACGCTGAGAGATCTGCATGTGAATGTGTTTTCCTGCACTAATGCTGCTGGAATTACTGTAATTATGAGATGGCAGCTCGCCTGTTTCTTCACGCTCAGATGTAATTTGTTTCTAAGGCAAAGCATCTGTGTGAGGGTTTGCTGATATTGACAGAAAAATACTCCATCACTGCATTCATTTACACTGAGAACTAATAAAGCAGCAGAAACACTGACTTTAAAAACACAAATATGTATTAAGACGTTTTTAACTAAAATATGAGTCCATAATCCATAATAACGCTTCCTCCAGTGAAAAAGTGCATCTCAGATGTTAACTGATGGACTGGAGTGCTGTGGATTATTGTGATGTTTTTATCAGCTGTTTGGACTCTCATTCTGACGGCACCCATTCACTGCAGAGCATCCATTGGTGGTTTGGCTCCATTTGGAAGATTTTGGAGTAAATTAGAGCATTCTGGGAAAATGAAGTGTTAATATATTGTAATAGGAGGCATTCCTGTAGCTCAAATAGTAGATCATGGCACTCGCAACGTCAAGGTCATGGGTTCGACTCCCAGGGATTGCGTGAGAAAATCTGAGGAAAACTAAAGCTTGAATGCAAATCGCTTTGGATAAGCGCCTCAGCCGAATGCACGAATGCAAATTTCAAACATTGATTATTAATGTCATCAAATGTTGTTGTAAATTCTCCATATTTTGTATGCATGAATATGTTTAATCATAAGCAATATTTTGCATGTATAATAATATTTAAACGTTATTCATATTGAAAAAGGCAGTTATTTGATGTTTCCATTTCGATTCTTCTTCCCTAAATTCAAATTTGATTTAAATCTACAAACTGTTACTTCAAATCAGTTTGAGGAAATGAGTTCAGTTCTGAATGATGCTCATCGTGAATATGAGTCTGATTTCATGTGGTAATATCTCACATGTTCGTGTCCTGAAGCATCACATCAAACTTCAGATTCGTTTCATCATCTGCATGGACTGCATCACCACCCTCCGAATAAAGAGATGCATTGGATGAAAACCTGCGTGAAGCTGCTTCATGATGCATTATGAAGCGGTTGCCATGGAGACGTGGTCCTCTGAACAGCCAGTGAGCAGTCTGAAGCAAATCTGAGATGACAGGCTGGATATTTGCTCACGCTCCTCCGGGCCTGACGGATCCGCGTCTCTATTTGCCCTTCAGCACACAGACCTGCTGAATCCACCCGCGGAAACAACTGCATTTCTGAAGGCTTAGTGAGTCTGTCATCTGCTATTTGACCCACTTTCTCACTAAAGATGATGTGGCGTTTGGTGGTCTGGGTGTTTTTATCGTGGTCACAGGTTAAAAAGGGGGTTTTAGTCTGTATTTTTGAATTGTGACATTGACATTGCTTGAAATAATCAATTTTTATATATTTATATATATACACTTCTGGAGTTGGTAAGATTTTTGAATGCTTTTGAAACAGTCACTTCTGATCACCAAGGCTGCATTTATTTGATCAAAAATACAGTAAAAATTGTTTAAAATTATTAGAATCTATAACAGCTGTTTTCTATGTGAATATCTGTTAAACTGTAATTTATTTCTGTGATCAAAGCTGTATTTTCAGCATCATTACTCCAGTCTTCAGTGTCACATGATCTTCAGAAATCATTCTAATATGCTGATTTGCTGCTC